GCTGACTGAAAGCCGGTTTCTAGGGTTTTGTTTAGCTTCTATATTTGCAACATAGTTGCTTAGAGTTGCAGCTGAGAGGCCGGCAAGTCAGGCGGGGAACGTTGGAGTCCGCCGTCACTGGAGCAAGCAAGCCTCCCTGTTCGCTTCAGTGCATGGCTGCCGGCCGCCATCTTGGCTGGCAGTTAATTTGCATATCGCCCTGATTAGCCAATGGGAAGGGTAGCGGATGTACGGCTAATTACCATGTTTCTCTTTTATTAGATAGGATATGTGCATTTTATATATGATTAAATACTTCATGAATTTATATTGATACTCCCATATTTATGTTGATAATTTGAGACTATAGAGCTTTTATTAAACCTCTTATGTATTACATTTGTATACCATTTCCTCTATAATGTTAATTCTGGTTCTTAAGCATATAGGTAATGATTTAATTATAATGTTCCATAATTACTCATTTATTTTATCCCATATTATATAAAAGTCATAAAAGTAAAAAATACCAATAATACTACATTATGATTCCTGAAAACATGCTCTCCCATTTCTTTCTACTTTTAAAATAGATATACTGTATCCACAGTGTTGGAACTTGCAGACATTGTGTTGCATATCCTCCCCTCTTAGAATTAATTTGTTCTTGGTTTGCAGGTAACTATACATTTAACGCTCCCCATTAGTCCTTATATCAGTGTTTCTCAAGTCATGTTGGTCTTCTGAAGCTTGTTTTCTAGGAGCTCCCTCAGGAAGTACTCATGAGAATAATCTCAGATTCTTGTTGATAACACTTTGTGCCCTTTATACTTAAAAGTCATTTTTGCTAGATATAAAATTCTTGGCTCACACTTTCTTAAGTATTTTAAATATGTAGCTTTATTTTCTTCTGGCATGAAGTGCTGTGTTACATGTCCATTTGTTTGTTTTTCTAGATGTTCAAAGCATTTTTTGTTCTTTTCATTATTGTCCAGTAATTTTACTAGGTTGTGTTTTGGTGTTTGTCTTAATCAGCTCAGGCTGCTATAATAAGCTACCATAGATTAAGTTGCCTACCATTTATTTCTCACAATTCTAAGTTTGGGTGACTAAGATCACAATGCCAACATGGTTAGGTTCTTGGTTAGGGCCCTTTGCCTGGTTTACTGATGGCCCCCTTGTTGCTGTGTCTCACCTGGTGGAGAGATAGATCATCTCTCTCCTGTGTCTTCATATAAGGGCACTAATCCCATTCTTTAGGGCCCATCCTCATGACCTAATTGTTTCCCAAAGTCCAACTGCAAATTCCATCGCCCTAGGGTTAGGACTTCAACATATGAATTGAGGAGGAACATTCAGTCCATAGCAGTGTTAGTCAGTTTTCTCATAATATAGTTTCAACTTGGGTTTGATTTTAGGAAAACTTTCTTATGCTAGTGTTTTTAGTTACTTGTTTTATTTGTTTGCTTGGCCGCCTTCTTCAGAGACTCCTGTTATTCAAATGTTCGCTCTTTACCTGAATTTGTCACATTCTCTCAAATCCTTTTTTATATCTTTTTCATTTCTTTTTTGCTTATCTATTGTGTTCATTCCATCTTATGTTCTTTCTAGTTTAGTGTTTATTTCTGAAATAATTTTTTAAAATATTTTTTATTGATTTTAGAGAGGAAGGGAGAGGGAGAGAGAGATAGAAACATCAACGATGAGAATCATTGATCAGCTGCCTCCTACGTGGCCCCTACTTGGGATTGAGCCTGCAACCCAGACATGTGCCCTGATCAGGAATCGAACAGTGACCTCCTGGTTCTTAGGTCAACACTCAACCACTGAGCCAGACTGGCCGGGCTGAAATAATTTTTTTTAAATTTTGAGTTTTTCCTGAGTTCTGCCACCTATTTCTAAGTTATTTTAATTCTGATTTATGTTGTTGGTTCCTGTGTTTTATCATTTTCTTGAACTCTTTTACCTTATTTTGAAATCAGTTACTGTTTTAATTTGTTTTGTGAGAACATATATCTGGCATGTTTTCATTATAGGGATAAATTCTGCTGCTTATTCTCTTTTCTCTCATAATTTTTATGAGATTTGACCCTCTTCCTTATTCTTATAAAAAATTTTCCCTGATTTTTTTTAATGAGGCAGAGTTTAGGAACATTTATGTAACTTCACAAAGATCCATATCTGTGATTTTTGTATAATCTTCAAAACTGTGGTGGGATTGCCTGTCCCTATCCCTTTCCCCTCCTTTGATGGATCCTTTCTTTTCCTCATTGTGTGGCCCTGATCTGGAAGCCCCGGTGGGTCAGTTTGGGAAGTTGCTAAGTGCTGGCCTGCTCCAGTCCTCAGGCTGTCTTGCCTCTGCCCCATACACCCACTCAGCCTTGGAGAGTGGGAACCTTCCCAGATCAGCTGCTACCTCCAGTTGGCCCATTTTGCTTCCCAGTGAGTACTTGTTGGCTCTTCTGTGGTCTCCTGTTCTCGGACCGAGCAGGTGCCATTCTGTTGCTTCCTTCTTCCTTCACACAGACCCTGGTGCGGTGCAGAGTGTATAGCTGTTGGTGGTTCCCCACGTGCTTGTATTTTAGGGCTCACGTGGGTATCTGGTCATCTGATTTTGGAGTAAGTGCTGTCTGTGGCGTGGGTTCTGCTCTCTAATTGCTCTCTGCTCTCTGTGGGATTCAGAGAGATGGAAGAACTGCTTCCCCTGCCACCACCACCTGCCGAGAAGCTATTTAGTGATTTTAAGAGTTAGTTCCCAAAAAACTATATGAACGAAGCTAGTGTAAAAGCAAGGATACAGTGATGTGGAAACCTTCATCATTGTGATTAACTTATTTGCAAAGCAGGCTTTCTTTTGCAGTTAGTAGTCTCATTTAAAATTCATGATGGGCCTGGCCAGTTTTGCTTAGTGGATAGAGCATTTGCCTGTGGACTAAAGGGTCCCGGGTTCGATTCTGGTCAAGGGCACATGCCTGGGTTGTGGGCTCAACCCCTAGTAGGGGGCGTGCAGGAGGTAGCCAATCAATGATTCTCATCATTGATGTTTCTATCTCTCTCTTCCTCTCCCTTCCTC